CACTTTGCCAGAGTCTGCCCCCAGAGGAAGGAATGGCAAGGGATGGTAGGAGCTGTGGATGGAAGAGAGGAAGAAATACCGGAGCAAGTAAAAGCCAACGCCTGGCTGCCACTGTCGGGGCACAGCAGCCAGGCCAAAGAGCAGTGAGAGTGCCCACGCCAGAACCTCCTAAACCCGCCCTAGTGATAGAAGTGACGCTAGAGCTGCCAAGCGGACACCCTCTAAAGATAAAGGCGCTGTTGGACTCAGGCAGCTCCTGCAATTTCATGAGCAAAGAGTTTGCAGCTGAACACCAGATACAGACGATCCCTTTAAGCAACCCCTGCAGGTGACCACGATCGATGGCAGGGAGCTGTTGGGAGGAGAAGTCAGCTTGCAGACCGTCCCAATGATAATGAAGGTAGCAAGGCACACCGAACTGATAGCTTTTAATGTGGCCACCTTGGGAGGAGCTCCCATTATATTGGGGATGAGCTGGCTAGCGTTACATGATCCGCTGGTGGGCTGGCATCAGAGAGTGGTTTCTTTTGGTTCAGCACATTGCTTAGAACACTGCAAAGAGGAAAGGGTTTGGCAGGGGCCCAAGCCACCCTAGCAGGGACTGAAGTAACGGAGAACGTGAAGGTACCACGACAATATGCAGATCTCCGTGACGTCTTCAGCGAAAGGAAGCTGACCAACTACCCCGCATAGACCCTTTGACTGTCAAATCAATTTACTCCCTGGAGCACAGCTCCCTGTAGGCAAGCTGTACGCCATGTCAGACAGAGAGATGCAGGAGCTAAGAGAGTTCATTGACAAGAACCTGAAGAGAGGGTTCATCAGAGAGTCCAGGGCGGTGGGGGCAGCCCAGTGTTTTTGTGGATAAAAAAACACGAACAAGCCGAGGCTGGTGTGTGACTTCAGGGCCTTAAATGCAGTGTCAGAACCAGTGGCCTTCCCTATGCCCAGGATTGACGACATTTTGACAAGGGTGCGGAAGGGAAAGATTTTCACAAAGCTGGACCTAAGGGGGGCGTACAACCTGGTACGAATAAGGAAGGGGATGAATGGAAAACCACCATGTTCACCCCTTTAGGGGCATTTGAATATTTGGTTATGCCCTTCGGCCTACAAGCAGGCTCCGCAACATTTCAATCGTTTATGAACCACGTCCTGGGGCCTTTGCTTTACAAGAATTGTGTGGCCTTTTTAGACGACGTGTTGGTGTATTCTGAGAATGAGGAGCAGCATGTGAGAGACGTCAGAGAAGTGTTGAGCAGGCTGCAAGCCACCCCGCTGTGGGTGAAACTGGAGAAGTGTCAGTTTCATACCAAGGAGGTGGAATTCCTGGGGTATCGCCTGTCAGACAAGGGATTGGCCATGGATCCCGGCAAGGTCCAGGCGGTGCTGGAATGGAAAACACCCAAAACAAGGAAGGATGTGCAGAGGTTCCTAGGATTTGGGAACTTCTATCGTAAGTTCATCCGAAACTTTGCCCACCTGACGGCGCCCATTACGGACTGTCTCAGCAGTAAGAAGAAGTTCGTTTGGACTGAGGAGGCGGAGCGAGCATTTGAGGAACTAAAAGGGCCTTCGCCTCGGAACAACAACTCCTGCATGTGGATTTACAAAAACCGATGAGAGTGGAAACTGACGCATCAGACAGAGCGATTGGGGCGGTGCTTCTGCAGCCAGGGAAGAAGGAGTCAGAGTGGAGACCGTGTGCCTTTTTTCGCGAAAGCTGAACAAATCCGAGAGGAACTACACGGTGTATGACCGAGAACTACTAGCCAGTCATGAGGCGTTCCGGAGATGGAGGCACCTGCTAATTGGCGCACAACATAAGGTGCAAGTGTGCACTGACCACAAGAACCTAGAGTATTGGAGGACGGCACGAGTGCTCACCCAACGGCAAGTGAGATGGGCCCAGGAGTTCTCCAAATTTAACTTTGAGATTTGTTACGTGCCAGGCCCAGAGAACATTAGGGCGGACGCTCTCTCACGCAAACCTGAATATTTGGAGGGGAGGAGCACCCGAAGAGAGACATGTCATTCCAGAGGACCGCTGGGTGTGTGGGGCGGCATTGGTGGGACAAAGAGAACTGGTAGAGGAAACAGAGAATGATGAATACGCCCAGAATAAGCTCAGAGGTCTTAGGGGTGAGGGAGAGGAACCAGGGGTTTCGAGGAAAGAAATGGAGCTTTGTATTACAAAGGGGCACTGTATATCCCTGAAGGAGACTTAAGGGGAGGGTACTCAAGCAGTTGCACGACAGCCCTACGGCGGGGCATTTTGGACAACACAAAACCATGTGGTTGGTCACCAGGGATTTTGGTGGCCTAAGGTGAGGGAGATGTACGTGAGTATGTAAGAGGGTGCGAGCAATGCCAGCGAGCCAAAGGGAAAGGCGGGCGCCGGCGGGGCTGTTAGAACCCTTACCAACCCCAGAACGACCTTGGGAGGCAGTGTCGATAGATTTTATGACTGATCTGCCGAAGTCCAAAGGGAAAACAGCCATCATGGTGGTGGTAGACCTACTAACAAAGATGTGCCACTTTGTAGCTTGCTCGCATGCAGTCACGGCGGAAGAGACAGCGAAGTTATTTGTAGAACACATTTTTAGGTTGCACGGGGTGCCATTGAGGGTGGTCTCAGACCGAGGAAAACAATTTACTTCCAGGTTCTGGAGGAAGCTCATGAGCTTACTGCAGGTGGAGGTCAATTTTTCGACTGCCCGGCACCCTGAAACCAACGGGCAGGCGGAAAGAGCACGCGGTGTCCTCCAGCAATACCTGAGGTGTTATGTCAATGACAGAGAGAATGACTGGGTAGAAAAGTTGGCGCTGGCGGAATTTGCCTACAACAATGCCGAGAATGTGTCCACAGGGATGAGCCCCTTCTTGGCTAATTATGGGTGTCATCCCAGGGCTTTCCCAGGGGAGATGGGGAGAGATGGAGCGTCCCGGCAGCCGAGCATTTTGTGGAAGAAATGGAAGCAATCCATCGTCAGCTCCAACTCAACTTAGAAAGGGCGAAGGAAGAATACAAGAGGCAGGCAGACAAGAACCGAAGGGAAGGTGAAACCATAAGGGTGGGAGATAGGGTGTGGCTGTCAACCCAAGGGTTGCCGTTCAAAGGAGGTTGTAAGAAATTAAGACCCAGGAGGTTGGGTCCCTTTGAGGTCATTCAACAGGTCAACCCAGTGGCTTTCAGGCTCCGGTTACCCAACCACATGAAACTGCACCCAGTATTTCACAGGTCGTTACTGTCACCGTACGAAAGGGGACGAGAAGGGATGGCCACTCGGGGACCGGTCATAGAAGAAAGAGAATGCAGCAGCCATGTGGCAGAAATCCTCGACGCCAGGTGGAAGGGGAATCAGGTGGAGTATTTGGTAGCGTGGGAAGGAGAACCGGAGTCAGAAAACACTTGGGTAATGGCCGAAGATATCAATGACGAGGTATTGATAGAAACGTTCCATCAAAGGTTCCCAAGGAAACCTCAGCCTGTGGAGAGGTTCCGGAGGGAATACTTTGGGACCACTGATGAGGAGGAGGAGTTGGAAGGATTCCCGGACTCGGAAGGGGACGGGAGATGGACTCTGAGGAGGAGGAGTACTTGAGACCAGGAACCGCAACAGGTGGAGAGAAGTGTTCGAGACATCGGAAGATGAAGGAAGTTCATTCCGGGGTTTGCCTCCTCACCGCCCGTAGAGGAGGGCGAGAGGGGGTGAAGGGGGCCCTGGAGGGGAGGTGGATGTCAGGGAACTGCCATCGGACGGAAGGGAGGTGAAAGGGCTCACACAGGTTGGGAGAGACTCAGCAGCTGAAGAGGGAACCAGCAGGGAGGTGAAAGGGCTCACACAGGTTGGGAGAGACTCAGCAGCTGAAGAGGGAACCAGCAGGGGAGAGGAGCTGAGCTGAGGGAAAGTGAGCTGGAGGGATGGCTCAGAGACACTTCCAGCGAAAACAGTGGGGAGGTTTCAGGACCTCCTGTAAGAACACCCACTCCTCGCCGGAAACTGTCACGCAGAGAGTCCAGAAGACGTGTTTCCGTTAAGGAGCTTTTATGTTGGAAGCGATTACGAAAGCAACCACTGTCGGAATCTGCTAGTGACTAGAGGAGCCATGTCTGAGGG